CGTCTAGAGTAACTAAGTCATCGAGAAAAACAATCTACCCTAACAAAAGTCTATTTTGTTAATTTATTTATGTAACAAATGGTATTATTTCATATACACGTTACTTAACTTATTTCTTCTTTCAATTGGAGTTTGGCGCAACTGCAAAAACGAATACATGTACATCCTCTAGTTCTATTGCTAAAATGATCGAACAAGGACATGTAAATGTGAAACGATCAAGGGTCAAAGTTAAAAATACCACTGCGCAATCGTGACAAAAAAAACCCACGGGCGACGCACGACGGACGACGCCAGATATGGAATTCCATACGCAAGCAGTCAGGTCAACCCCGCCGCGCTGGCTGACGATCGCACGCACACGTACACGCACCGCACACACACAAACCCTCTCGGGGATCCAACACGGCCGCCATGCCTACTAAACTTGAAGCCAGCAATCCAAGATTCCAGAGTAACTACACTTAATCCCAAATATGTAAAAGTGTTACAGTTAAATTACCAATGACACAAAAAATCCAAATCTAATCCGACAATCCAATAAATGTCGTAAGTTTTGCACATCAACCCAGGTGACGTTTTACACAACCACAACGCACTTACACGTCTAGTCTCTATTGTCAAAAATCAACGTTAAATTAAAGCTCCGACACTACTTTTCTTCGAACTTCACCTAAATTCCATATTTTCAACCCAACAAAAGCCATCCACATCCTTATTAAACCTGTCTATGATAAACTGCAGTAAATGTAGTAGGCCATCCGACCCTAAAAGTTTCCACAAAATAATGAAATGTACGCTACAAAATGGGAGTAAAAGGAACGACATGATTACCTGCAAAGAGTCGGGAAGGCGGTGCCAAAACCCGCGTTTTGGGGCGACATTTAATTATGTGCTCGTGTAGTACAGTCTAACCCTTCAGAAAAACTAAAAGTTGATACTAGGCCGCCAAACCTCGGAAATTTACAACAGAAAGAACATCGATAAAAAAATTAACAAATGTTATTACATTTCAAGGTCCTTGGCCCACATTTTCAATTATTAGAGCTTATAATGAAGTACACGTACTAAATTAAATATCATTGCGCAATGTTTTTCGGACAACCAGTTATGAACAGAAACTTAGGACGACAAGGAAAGACACGAAACAGATTAAAACGGTATCATCGGATCCCCTAGGGCATCTCGAAGAATGCCTGTTTAATAACAAAAAAATATACTGCTTAAAAATATGGTTGCTCGTGCTTGGAATGAGTTTACGAGTTCATTATGATGACCAGAGCTGTGCACAAGTTTGTACACAATCTGCTCCTATGCATGGCTTTGTAAGGTCCAAGTGGGAGGCCGTAAGTCAGGGAAACTTGTCTATTGGGTTAATATTATTCTGTCATTTTAAATGCTCAGGAGTAACGGGCTCATCGGGAGAGCTCTGGATGAAGATGCGCCACTTCAGCTTGAGCACCCTGCGCGGTTTGGGCGTCGGTAAATCAATCTTCGAAGAACAGATCGGAACAGAGGCAGAGGAGTTGATTAAAGCAATGGCAGCCTTCAACGGCAAACCTTTCAACCCGAAGCCCCATCTGGCCGGCGCAGTGTCCAACGTCATCTGCTCCGTCACCTTCGGTCAGCGCTACCAGTACGATGACCAAGACTTCCAACGACTCCTAGCCTTGGAGAGCAGCCTCGTCTTAAACTTGGGAATAGGCGGGTTCTTCTTTTTTTTCGGCGATGTGGGTGCTAGGCTACCCTTCCTGAGATCCGAGCTCCAACGACTGGAAACCGATCACAATCAGATCCTAGCATTCATAAAGAGTGTCATCGATTTGCACCGCTCCAAGTTTGACTCCTACAATTTAAATGACTTCGTCGACGCTTACCTAATGGAAATAAAACGATGTGCTCCAAAAGGTGCCTCCTCCACTGAACACGATGTGAGTGTTGACGAATCTAGCAATACACGATTAAATAACAAAAACTTACTTTACGTGGTGGACGATCTGTTTTCCGCGGGCTCAGAGACCACGGTCACTACACTGGAGTGGTGTCTCCTTCACATGGCCATCTACCCGGAGGTTCAGCAGCGTGTCCAGGCCGAGATTGACGCCGTGGTTGGTCGTAATCGGCGGCCAAGGCTTGCCGACAAGCCTGGTCTGAATCTCACCCGAGCCGTGATCTGGGAGGTCCAACGCATGGCCAGTATTGTGCCCTTGGGTCTGCCGCACGTTGCCGCTGCTGACACGCAGCTGAATGGCTTCCTAATACCAAAAGGTACATTTATTGTGTCCAACTTGTGGAGGATTTTTCGCGACCCCACCCTATGGCCAGAACCAGAGAGCTTCAAGCCGGAACGATTTTTGAATGCCGAAGGCGAGGCCGTCAAACCAGAAGAGTTTATTCCTTTTGGCGTCGGTGAGTAATGAAAATAAATTCCTCACTACTGCATTGAGACAAAAGAAGGCTACTAAACACTGATAAGGTTGTTGTTAGTACCACTGGCCAAGATTGTCAGGTTGTCAATGAAGCAGCTGTTTCAAAATTGATTGCATGATTTTATGAATGCATGTAGGCCTATGACAAAAATGGCAATCTTCCGTGATATATACGTTCCGAGATATCTTGCTTGCTTGACTAAAATCCACAGGTCGCCGTATCTGTCTGGGTCAGCACCTGGCCGAGATGGAGCTTTTCGTCTTCTTCAGCTATTTCATGCACAAGTTCACCTTTATGAAATCCGCTGATGCACCGCCACTGACTTTAGAAGGAAAGTCCAGCGTCACCTTCTCGCCTTTGCCGTTCGAGATATGTGCTGTCGAGCGCAATTGACATGACCGTGCAAGTACTTCTTCCCTGCCGGATTCCACAGGTTGCATCGGCATGATGTCTGGGATATCCTGTCCATTAAGTATTAATTAACATACAAAAGGGTCGTTAATTGCGGCATGTCCAAAGTTTAGGAAAACTGTGCTCTGCGCAGTGGCGTAAATTTGTGACGGAGATTGTTGGGTGGAATGGGGACGGGGATTTTCTTTTTTTCGGGGGAGGGGTGACTTGCCCGGCTATGGTACTTTAAATGCCGGGGAAGGGGGGAATGTGGCACTATAAGGAGTGATATTTATGATACAGATGTACAATCTATAACACGTATTACTTTCTTGCAGAATTTTACATGAGAACGGCATATTTGGCTTTTAAAAATATTTTTGACTACTGTTGAACACATTTTGGTCTTTTGGAAGTTTGTAATATTCTTAACAATCCGCCTGGGCAAAAGAGGGGTATATACCCCCACCACCCCAGAATTTAAGCCCATGGCTCCGTCATTCTGATATTGAACACGTTAAATTATATTGGATATCGTCATCTTTTGTCCACTCCTGCCCACGTACTGCTGGTGGTATTCCGGTTAATTCACTAGTAACGTATCAAGGTTTGGAGTTGTGAGTTTTATGAAACTTGGTTGTAAAAGATTTGGATGTCTTATAGGATTAGTGTAGACCACTCTTATTTTGCCAACTTGTATGGGCGGCCAGTTGATTTAACCTCAAATTGTTCAAAATTTGTCCCATTGGTATTTTGTAGTACATGTATTATTATCTGGTGTTCTTATAGTGAAATTAATAACACTTTGTGAATTATAGTTTTAATTTTGTACCGACTGCCAGCCTTAGTTTTAGCAGCTACTTTTAAGAAAAGCACGAATGTGACGTCAAAAGAACAGACCCGTAGCAGTGAAATTGTCGGCTCACATGGTTGTTTTTCTCCCAGAACAATGATATATACCGAATATTTGACCGTTTAAAATAAACAAAAGTTGTGAAGACGAAGATTACAAGGCTATAATAAGCTGTGCATACTTCTATGTACTTACATAAAGGATAAATTTAATCGACCTCAAACTTCAAAAATGTAATTGTATAAGGAGTACCTTAATATATCTATCAAGTTTTTGAAAATTGAGCATGGTACAGCCGAGTTCAAGGGGGACGGCGGAGTCCACCTCAACCCAGCTTAAGAGGGGCCAAAATAACCCGGCTCTTTTAGGGTTATTCACCTATTCAAATGATCACACTGCTGTTATCAGTTTACTCGAGATATATCAGTTTCCTACACTTTACAATTGAAAAAAAAATTAGTGAACTAGTTTTGTGTAAAACCGATCCCTGGATGTGGCTTGCTTACCAGTTCATATGACTACGGGAAATGAGTGGTACGAGAAGATAAGGGTTAAAATGCCTTTTGGACAAGATGAAAGTCTAGAAGAGCCAAAAATAACCATTGGCGACCGTGTGATCTGCTTTTCAAATGTTGTAGCTGCTTTTATGGAAATCGACCGTATTAATTTAAATTTACCGGTAATCGTTTTCGAATCATCATTTTTCTGCAAACTGTTTAGAATGTTTTGTAGTTCGAATATATCAAATGAAAATTGCAAGTTTTACGCTTTTTAGTTGAATTGAATTTTATTGCCTGTATTTTAAAGTTTGCCTAAACTTCAAGTTTTATTGAGTTTAAGTCGCTGTTTGGCGGCGCAGCCTTGGTAAACCCTCAGATAGTTGATAATTTATGTCAATTCGGAGATCTTGCTATTATTATTATTATTATTAAATTCAATTTATATAGCGCTCATTTCATAAAAAAAAGTTCAGGAGTGCTTAACAATATTTAAAAAAATACCTATTAGAACAAATTTTTACAAAGACCCAAAATAATTAAAATAAACACAATTTAACATTGATTTAAAAGTTTAAACCAAACATGGTGGGACTTCCACACACGGCCGGCACCAACTCTCCCTCCAACGACCCATCGTGCGTCCAAGACTCATCCTTGTGCCCGAAAACTGGAAGCACTCTCCAAGAGAACACTCAGATTCTCCCAGACAGGTACAACAAAATTAAAAACGACAAAATTACAATCAAAATTAACAATCACCCAGAGCCTAGAAATTACTAATATGCTTTCTTAAAAAGATATGTTTTTAACATTGATTTAAAAGTAATGGCACTGGTAGCACTTCTAATATTACATGGAAGCTTATTCCAGAGATGTGGCGCACAAAACTCAAATGCTCGATCTCCGAGGGTAGCCTTAGCCCGACCTGATGGATAATTGAGGAGGACACCATCACTGGAACTACGGAGATGGTAACGGTTCCGAGGCCTTACAGAGACAAGCTGAGTTAAGTATTGAGGAGCGAAATCATGTAAGACTTTGTATGCAATCAACAAAATTTTAAATTCAATTCTATATAAAACCGGAAGCCAATGTAAATCAATAAGAAGAGGAGTAATTCGACAAAATTTTGGTGTCTTGTAAACGAGTCGTGCACAAGCATTCTGTACCCTCTGGAGCTGATTAATATGAATACTGGGTAAGCCATAAAACAAACTATTAGAGTAATCCAATCTACTTGAGATAAATGCATGAATCAGTGTCTCAGTACATTCCTTGGAGAGATATTTCCGAATGTGCCTAATATTATGTAGATAATAGAATGCGCTACCACAAACGTTAGTAATATGAGTTTTCATAGACATATTAGCATCAAATCAGGTACCTAAGTTACGAGCTGTAGCCAAGGGTGAAATGACAGATTCCCCAACATGAATACCATCCAAAGTTACCTTGGATATTTTTTGACGAGTGCCAATAATGATAAATTCTGTTTTATTGTCATTCAAAAGTAATCCATTATTAAACATCCATTGTCTGACATCGTGTATGCAAGCCCCCATAGCTGACACGGCAAATTTCCGACTACCAGTTTCATCTGGACAAAATGATAAATACAACTGAGTATCATCAGCATAGCAATGAATTCTTGGGTGATGAGCATTGACGATGTCAAACAACTGACTAGTGTACAAGATAAACAATAAAGGACCTAAACATGACCCTTGAGGAACACCCCATTCAAGATTACGTTTACCATATAGTTTACCATTGACCAAAACCCTTTGAGATCTACCACTCAAATGTGAGTTAAACCAGTTAAGGGCAGTGCCAATAATTCCAAAACGTGACTGGAGTAAACTCAAAAGAACGATCATGATCTAATGTGTCGAAAGCTACACTCAAATCCAATAACACAAGAAGTGTAACATGTTTCCTGTTCAAGGCCATCAACAAATCATTTTGAACTTTCAATAAAGCAGTTTCAGTACTTTGAAATTTACGATAAGATAACTGCATAACTAGATATAGATTATTCCGTGTCAGATGAGACTGCAATTGATCAGCAACGGCCCTTTCCAGCAGCTTCGAAATAAACTGTAAATTACACACAGGTCAAAAATTTTCCACTTTGCCCTCAAGTCCAGGTTTTTTTTAGTAAAGGGAGGACAACAGCCAATTTCCAAGCCGCTGGAAATTCCCCGCTCTTTAGTGAAAGATTAATCAATTTAGTAACAAATGGCAAAAAGGAGTCCAAACAATCGACAAACATATTAGTAGGAATCGGGTCAAGAATGCACGTTTTCTTACTGGAGCCAGTCACCAGTTTACGAACACAATTTTGAGATAATTGACTAAAATCAGTTAGAGTGGGTGGCTCTGGGTGTGAAACAAACATATTATAAGTGGGTGAAGGATTAATGCAATTCAATTTCAGCCTAATATTACCAATTTTCTGGACAAAGAAATCACTCATATGATTTGCAAGTTTTCGAGCATCGGTAAAACAGAAACCTTATTAAGAAAGAGAGAACCATAGGCCCTAAAAAGCCTTTTGGGATCAGTACTATTCTTTTCTATAAAGTTGGTATAGTATTCCTGACGAGCAATATTTATTAAAAAAGTAACATTATTTTTCTTGGATTTAAACATGTTTAGATCTTGCTATGACCCATCAAACGCCATTTCCTCTCAACTTTCCTTCTTTCACACTTGGCTAATTTGATATTATTATTATACCAGGGTACACGTGGTCGAACAACAAGTGTTTTGGACTTAAGTGGAGCATGACGATCAATAATAATGCCCATGGTATCATTGTACAAATCAACCAGACCATTGAGATCCTTTGAATCAATAAGAACAGAATCCTCATTATATAATTCAGAATTACAAATGTCATTATTAAACTTAGCCAAGTCGATAGCCTTTAATTTCCTATATGACACATCTTTCACAGATAAACAGGACGTTTTCAACTGGATATTGCACAAAACAGGCAAATGATCTGAGAATAATTCACCAGAGATCGGTGTTCCCAATATAACAGATTCTGATTGACGAGTAATTACTAAATCCACTATGTGACCGGGTATATGAGTAGGAGTGATGACATGCTGTTGTAAACCTCACAGATTCCAGTATCTCAGCAAAATGCATGGAATCGTGATTTTGAACCATGTCAACATGAATATTAAAATCTGTAGTAATCACAAGGGGTTCACTAGATAATATAACCGTTTCTAGATAGTTAGAAAACTCATCAATAAATGCATTAACAGTGATTTGGTGATTGGATGAATATTGTGGTCGATAGACAATAACCAGTCTAAGAGACTGCGAACCGGACCTAATCAACCATTCCGAGAATTCGAAGGATTGACGTTCTCCGGCTGCCGTCTTGGTGACATCCATACCATCACCGAGAAGCAAGGCAGTGCCTCCCCCCATCTGGCTGGTTCTTGGGTGATCTAGCAGCTTGAATCCGACAGGGGTCTGCAAGCATCGTCAACATCCGTGAACCACGTTTCTGTCAGGGCAAAAATGTCTAGGCTACTCCAGAACTACATTCCTAATCAAGAAAGTCCACCGATTTATTCCTAAGAGACCGAGTATTAAGGGTGCAGAATCTCACAGTGTGATCCTCTCCACGATTTACAAACAAATTAGTAGTGAGGAATGTGCGCCACTGGTGTTAAGGTGCGATTGCTTGATCGCCAACAGTTACCACGAAAGGGTCGAGAGAGCTGGTCGATCAAAACAGGAATGTCTTGTGGTTTGTCACCGACAAAAGCCGAAACTGGAATCAGTGTACGATTGATGTCATGCCTTGATTGACACCTCTCTGGGAAACGATGGCGCGGAAAATTGTCAACAATGACAGAAATTTTCCGACGGTGTCCACCAAGAATTCCACGTCGGCGAGGAATACCCCTAGCTCGAAGCAGATGAACAATATTAGAAATTGACTAATCCACTGGCCAGTGATGGGGTTTGTTTCTAAAGACTGGTTGGGGCCAGTCATAGTGCTTAATTAATACCCCTGAGTCTGTACAGTTGTGTGGTGTACTATGTCCGACACGCATTTCTGCCTCTCTCTAACCTCTTCCAAGGCAACGCAACAACACGACGCGACGACTCCCTTGCGTCGTGCCGTCGCGTCGTGCCGTCGCGTTTTTGCCGATACATTTGTACGCACAGGGCACATCGTGTCGTGTGCCATCTTGCCGTCGCATCGTGTAGTTGCGTTACTTAGAGGCAAAAATGTGTGTCGTAAATAGTACACCATAGTAAATAGTACATGATACCAAAATAGTCGACAGTGATTCGATCCGAGTTTCGGTCTTGTGTACTTATTTTTGCAGTATGTAGCAAACAATGCTTAGGTTTTTGCATACTTTGCAATTTTAAACATGGCAACTGTTGTTACAGTTCATTGCGTTTAGCTTCTTTTTAACCGTGTAGACTTTAAAATTTTATCTGGACTGGTTTACTTAATCAACCTAAAATAGAAACATAAAGCACAAACTGTCACGAAGCAAACACGTACAAATGCTATTTTTGTCCTCGCTGACGTGGGCCGGCCCGACTTAGCCCCACTAGTGTGGCACGGGTCACTCCCGATTTATCCTTAGGATGGATTGGGAGTGAGAGTCCGTGCCACACTAGTGGGGCTAGGCTCGACTGGGCTCCAAAAGACGAGACCGCCACAGTATTGTTGCCATGACCATATGAGCTACAAGCCCACTACACAAGTACGCCTCGCTCAGGATTTCGTGACATCGTACGAATGTCCATTACAATTTTATTCGAATATCGTAAAAAGAATATACTTGTGCTCAGCCATTTACGGAAACAGAAACTGGGTTGGGATTAAGGTTCAACGTTCAGCCACCGAATGACACCAAAAAGTGCTAAAGACTGGTTCCGAATCACCGAACTTCAAACGACATCGACAGGTGTCGCTTATGGTACAGATACCAGACTGTATAGGTCACTTTGTGGAAATGAAACGGAATTGTCTACACGTTCCACGCAGTGACCTATCTCAATGCGTCAGTCCGTGAAATAATAATTTAAGAATTTGGAGAAGTAGGTCAACATTTTTAATTAATCAAATTAATTTATTTAGCTTTTTAGAGCACCTAAACGTTTGAAACTTTCAGAAAATAAAGATTCGATTATGCAGAACAAGAATATGTTAAAAACCGAAATTCGTCAAAAATCGAGATAGGTCAGATCATGGTGTGATCTACGACGTATCTCCCCAAATAAACTTTCTCCTCAAACTAATTTCAAATATTTTTTGTAATCTCGTCCTTCTTTTAAAAAAGGAAACATTTCTAAAAATACTTCTCGTAAAAACGGTTTGACAAAATGTATCTCTTAAAAACAAACTCGCACAAACAAACTCTGTCATGTTTAGTGCAGGTCTTTGAGAACCCTTTAAGAAGAACTGACTTGATTGAAGATAATGCATTGCAAAGTACACGATCGGCGATAAAAATAATTAAACGTAATTTAGACTGTGTTGGCGCTGTCAGGTTTTTTTTCCGGCGGTGGGGGGGGGAGAAAGCACTCATCGGCAACGAACTGAAAGATCACAAAATGTTTTGGGGTCAATTTCAATGTCTTGCGGATAATTTGATGATTTTTTTCATCCCCTTTAATATCTTTAAATTGCTTCGGGGGGAGGGGCAGAACAGTCACCTCCTTGGCTCCCCTCGCGACGCCCAAGTTGGACAAAGTTTGGTTTAATCGTGGATGATCAGGTCAACATTACAACACGTACCACAGCCACAAAATTGAAAAACAGAGAAAAAGTTGTTTTATTGGAAGTTAATGTTTCTGATCACTACATGAACTCCACAAAAATTTAAACCAATCACTGAGCATTAGTTTGGAAGTGGTATTAAGCAGCGGCTTTAGCCCATTTAATTTGCATAAGGGTACGTGGGAACTATGTGTTCATTTTTCTAAAGGGGCCCTGGACAAGTTGGGCCAAAGTTTTAAACAATACAAACCTTTTTGTTTATCTCCAAAATGTGAGGAGGGGGAGGGGCTTACAAGAGCAACACTGGTCTCAATGGGGGGAGGGGGACCCCAGCCAGTAGCACCACTAGCTTCAAATTTATGGGGGGCAGGGAATAGGCAGGTGCTCAGTTTTTAGAGAAGAAACCAAATGGGCTTGGTCATAGTTCCAGAGACATATTAAGCAATTAATGTATGTTGCTGCAACAGAATAATAGCTTCTTCTTTAAGTGTGTGTAAAAAACGATACACAAAATTTGTCAAAAGACAACAGACGAAAACCCTGCTAATTCCAAAACCATTCCCCCAAACTAGCACATGAGTGATTTTCACTCATAATTCTTCAATTGTTTTTTATCAAAAGTGATATCCTTTGACAGTGACTAAAAATTATAAGATGCACATAATTATTTATCACAGTACCAGAGCTTCTTTCAACAAAGATAACAGAAAGTTGAGCTGATGTCATATTAAACAGGGGTTAAAAAGAGCAAGGAAAGAAGAATGCTGAGGAGGTCTGACATTTCTGTGAAGGATTTCTGGGGAAGAAACTTGAGACTTCCACACAGAGCGAGGCATCAAAAAATCCTTGGTGGTTCTAGTTGATTTGCCTTTGTTTCCAGACTGGGATTACCCACACCCGGGACTCCAGTTGATATCTTGTAGGAACAAAAACAGAAGTCTGGTAAAGCAGGGCTTGGGAGGATGCTGAAGGAGGAACCTACGATACACAGTGCAGTGTGGTAGTCCAAGTCCATCACAAGTCCCCCTGTATACGATCTTCACAAGACCTCCAGTCTTAAGCCAGGTCACAAGCTTTTCAAATAAACTTCGATAAAGCATCCTTTGCCAGTGTTCTGCCTCCTACTTGGAAATGTAAAAGGAAGTCTTGTGAAAGAACTTGTGACTAGACTTGAGAAGTGACTCAAAAGAATCTTGATGGACTTGACTACAACACTGATACACTAATTTATTCCTGACAGAATATGAGTTGATTATTAAACAAATAAATATCGCAATACATTTGGAGTCTATTTTATTACCTCATTACACTGATTAATCTAGTAATCATCATCATCCGAATCGTCACCATGATCGCGTCCGCCGGCAAAGCTGACCGTCGTCCTTGTCTTCGGTTCGGGCTTCTCCCCTAACGTAGTTGCAACGGCACCCATTTCAGACAGCTTCCACTCCAACTCTGCCAGACAGGAGGAAGATACAAATAGGTAGGGAGGGAATTGTATTACTGCTGGAAATTAAGGGGAGGAAACAATGTGCAAAAGTACCCCCTCACTGGTCAAAACAAAAGGGCCTGGGCAGACACGTTGAGTGGCAAAGCTGGCAGTGCTGTACTAATCATTTAGACTAAACCAACAAAGGGATCGTGTCTGTAGTCTTTATACAAGGGGTTAGATACACATGCTAGCTCTTCAAAGCAAAGAAGCAGGACATTCCTTTCTTCTCTGTGGTAACAATAACTTGGTGAAAAACTCTTTTCGGAACTGTGAAAACTATTATTTCAGCTGGATTTTGTTGAAGTTTTCCTTGACTTTTCCTTTTGCAACTGACAACCCTGACTCAAAATGCCTCTGAATCGTTTTTTTTTGGGGGGGGGGAACTTGGTGTGGACCTGGCCTAGTCCACTCAAGGTTCAAACAACCTGCATTACGTGGACCTACTTTGGTCTCAGTTCCATACGATGACGACAAAGTTGGCAAGATACTTATCTCTTACAGTCACCCATCATATGAGTGTATCATGACGTGGTACCCAAAGTGGTCTGATTGGACATTCCATGCTTATAGTGAAAATTTTGACAAGAGCCTCGAGCCAAACATGTACACACTCTCGAGTGCAGAGGGAAAAAAAAATTACAATATCGCTTGTGTAGTTAAACAAGAAAATGACCTGTGATGACACCAAAAAACTTTCCTTTATATAGCAACAAAATAAAAATGGAAAAAAAAACAGCACATTGATTTCAGTTACATGTCTTAAGCTCACCTTCTAATGTCAAATTCATGCCACCAAATTCGAGTGGTCCGACAATCTGCGATTTCAAGTCGCCCTCAAAGTACACAAACATGGTGGGCAGGTTCTTGTCAGGATAGTTAGGGATACAGGTAGTAGAGATGCTCTTGAGGAACTTGGCGGCGGGGAACTTGGCCGCAAGCTGTACCAGGTACTGATTGATGAGTGAGCAGAGAGGAATGCTGTCAAAGAAAAGCGTACATTTCGTTCAAAAGTTTTGTAAGAAAAGATGCAACTTTTCAGGCTGATGTAGGTGGGTTGAGTAGAGAGGATGGGGCAGTGGGTATGTGGATGGATACAAGGGCATATTCAAAACTAAATTTGCAGGCAAGAGGGCAAATTTGTTTGGGGGGAGCAAAAATTTCAGATTTGTTTAAGAGTTAGGATGTGAGGCTAAATTTTGGGACTTTTCCATTCTTTATAGGAAGTGATCTGAAATGGGGCATTAACCCATCTTTGGTTTTACAGCACAAATATGCACAAGTGCCCACAGTCACTCTCTTGCATGTGTTTTCTATATTGAACACAAACATGCACAGGTTCAGTGTACACAGTTGGTTGCCAGCATAAAATGACCCAGGGTCTTTTGTGGAGTCCTCTTCAGTGCATTTGGTTTACTGCACAATTACGCACATGAAA